AGCTCCCTGGTGGGCGCAATCGGCAAAACCTGCGTTGCCTTGCGAATGATCCGCTTCCCTAATTGTGGAGCAATCCGTCAAAGCCGGGCTGCGCCTCAACTCTTGCATCGGGCTTGTGTGGGGCAAAGCCGCAACCGATATTGGAACTGACCATGAATCCAAACATTTTGACGCATGTAAACATTTGCTGTGTTTGTGCCAGTCGCCCGTCCCCCTTTCTAACCCAACCCTAAGAAGGGTACCCTTCAAAGACACACACTCATTTGGGTTCTGGGTGCGCTCCAGCCAGAACGGACCAAGACCGGCGCATCTAAGCCCAGGTTCTCGACCTCAGAGCCCCGACCCGATCCTGCGCCCGGCGGTGGGTTCGGGGGAGCATGTGGATGATGGTTCGTTGCGCAGCACCTAATCAAATACAAGGAGACGTTCTGCGTAAAGTGATGAGAACGTGGGTGGGATTGTCTGGGGGCGTACGCATTGAAGGGGCCAAAATACCCTTACCCCGCCTACAAAACAGAAAGGGATAGCCGCTGGGCCGCATCATACCTGATCATCTGGCCGTCCAGGCTTTTGCTTCCCGAAAGGGTAGCGAAGCCTTCGACATAGCCTCGCAGCACAACATAACCTGGCTTTATACAGCACATCACAATGTGGCCTTGCAGCGCAGCACATCTCAACATGGCTTTGCTGCACAGCACAGCGCCTTTGCTGCGCGGCACGGAACAAACTAGCAATGCTTAATGGCATAGCTCAACTTGGTTTTGCTGCGCAGCGCGTGTCAACATAGCTTTGCTGCACAGCGCTTCTCAACACCTGCGCGGTCTTGCTCTGCTCAGCTCTTTCCTTGGCTCTGCTTCGAGAACGCGCATCTCTCCTCTCTGCAGCCTCGCTTCTTCTCTTTCAAGCGAAGCGCGTTATCTTTTTAAAATTGGCGCATCTTCCTCAGCGGGGTTGGGACCCGCGGGCGCCGGCGGGATGAACGGCGAAGTGCTGTCGCTTTGGGGCCGTGCGAAACTTGAAGCTGGCTGACGAACCCTGTGCGGGGATCGCGCGCGTCGACGTGGAAAGGTCCGAATGTACTCGTCGGCTGCGGCCTGCAAATTTACCCACTGGACGACGAACCCTCTGAGGGGATCGCGCACGTCGACCGGCTCTCTCTGCGGCACCGTGCGAATTTGCCCACTGGCCGGCAAACCCTTTGCGGGGATCTTGCGCGTCGAAGCGAGCGAGAGCGTGGCCCGGCGCGAATTTCTGACTTTGCCGACGATCGTGTGTGTGTCGAAGCGCTCTGGCGGTGTGGCGCCATGCGAATGCCCGACCTCGCCGACGAACCCTCTGCGCGGATAGCGCGTGTCGAACTAAACGCCCCTGCTTTCACGCGGTGCGTGTTTCCAACTTCGCCGGTGGCCCGTGCGGTCGACTCTTGCGTTGGCGCCGTGCAAATTTTCAATCGAACCCTCTACGGGGATCGTGCGTGTCGAAGCCCTCTGGCTGTGGCACCGTGTGAACTTCCGACTTCGCCCATGAACCTTGCGCGCAGATCGCTTGTGTCGAAGCGCTCTCAGTGCGGCGCCGTGCAACATGTTGGCGTTCCTGGCTTGGAGGTTTTCTGGCCGTTTATGCGCCTCTTGGGATCGGGCAGCCCGGGCTCGATCCACTAAGAACCGGGCAGTGGAGTCCTCCGTGTGCCTCCTGGCTTTGGCGTCAGCCTCCACCTGGAGCGAGTGAAGCCCAAACCAAAATTGATTCGCGCGTGCTTATTTCCGGAGGGTACCCGTCTTACGGTTTCAGGGGAAAGCAAGCGGACAACCATGCCAAATGGGTCGCCCCAACTTTGATAGACACCTAATGTTGCAACACCTGGTGCGTGGTATAGTCTGTTGTCTACCCTGTGTTCTTGACTGCATGATCAATCAGAAGTCCTTGGGAACAGGTTAAAAGCCGAGAACGAATGTAGAGCTAAGCAGTGGGAGCGCCATCAAACTGCAATGTTTGATTTCTCCAAAAGGTGGAGGCACCCCAGCGGGGTTGCCTTCAAGGAAATCCAAGCAGAAGCCACCCATGTTGGAGGTTCCAACAAATTGCCAGCCGCTTCGCATCGAATTTCCAGCCTGGCGCTCAATGGACTGGAAGCACTGGCTGAGCTCATCCCGGCGCAGCGCCTTGGCCTTGGTGTGCGAATGAACAAGACAGGACGAACAGAAGGTATATAATTGTCTAAATGGTCCCAAAAAAGGAGACCCCGATACAGCTGGTTGTGTTGCCTTGGAGCCAATCATCCCTTATCAGCGCTTCGTAACCCGCCCCTGTTCGGTTTGTTCTGAGATGAAGCCCCCGGAAGCAAAGACATTGATGTGCCAACCGCCGTGTTCACAGGGCAGGTTGAGCCAGTCCAGCAATCCAGCAAGCATCTGCAAAGACAAGCATGTTATTGTTGCAATTTGGTTCACCTTGGTTCACAACTGTCAAGAAAAAATGGCGGACCTTCAGATTCGCAATCTTCCCGACAAATTACATCCAGGCCTTTGAGAGGTTCGAACGTGACAATCACTGAGGCACTGGCTCCAGATTGGGGCCTCAGAGTTTGGTGACAAGTCGCCAATCTCCCAAAATAACAAAGCTCTGCTCTGGAAACAGCTTGCTACCAAAGAAACGTAATCCCGATCCTCACTGGAACCGTGTATCTAAATATATGAATCCCCCCGGAGGCAGTCTATAGAAGGGGGCGCCTGCTTATGTAGAAAACCTTGAGAAAACACAAAGAAGCGGGAAGGCCCCGAGAAGGCTCCGTTGTATGTGGCCCGAGTGGCCTGCGAATAATAGGGAAGGCCCCGCGCGCCTCGTGGAGAGAATCAACGTTACTTGAAGGGGAGAGGACCGCAGCCCACATGCTCTCAGATGCCCCGGCGGCCAATGGACGGTCTCGGGCCTGAGAACGATGACTGTTTGATCAATAACCGTTTTGAGACTATGCCCTTTGCCGTCGGCCAGGACATGTGCTGTTAGTAAACGGCTATTGCCACGCTTGTCATTGTTGAGTTTATGTTGGGTCGCAGCTGCCCTGCTAGGGGTTTGCTGGGCAGCTGTTTCGCTCCCCTGCTGACGAACAGGTCTTCTGAGGCGATGGCCGGGGTCTTTCTCAGTCCGACAGACCGAGATGTCTTGTTTATTTGTGCCTGCATGGACCCAGGCATTGATTAGCCAACGGGCAGCCTTTGCTGAATTGATTCAGCCGCAGAATCAAAGTCTGGTATAACAACAGAGTAAACATTGAAAGGGAGGCTCAAACAACCTTCTAGGGTGTCAAAGAAAGCTGCTGTCAGGCCTGAGTCTTTCTAGAAAAACCTCGACCAAAGTTTCGGCTTAGATAAAAATCAGGAGCCCGGGCGCAAGACTACCAGAGTTGGCCATGCTGCCAGTCTACAGTAACGGGCCTAAAATACATCATGGAAGGCTCGTTTTACGCCAGGTGCTTGGTTGGGTGGGTGGGTGGGTGGGTGGTAAAAGGCCATCCCACGCCGCCGAGCAGGAGCTGACCCAGTAAGTGAAGGATCAGTGGATTTGTTCAGGTCAATTTGGGCGACTTGTTGACCATCTCCCTGCAGAGTCAAAAAACGAGTTTATTGTTCTTTGTTTTTCCCCAACAGCTGAAAGCTTTGGGGTCTCAGCCCAGATAGGCTCCGGGGGCGTCTGGGGCGGCCCTGAGGTAAGGTTCAAAGAGGGTTCCACCAGAGTTCCACCAGGGTTCCACCAGGGGAGACGTGATCCGGAGAAGCTGGTCGAGAATGTGATTCGCGCGCGAATCCCGAAGCTGATCCACCAGGGTTCCACGAGGGCTGCGGGGTGGTGCGAGCACTAACAAGAGCACCGCATGCTGTTGGGGATCTCACATGAGCTTTTTTGGGGGGGGGAGGCGTGGTAAGCATTGTTGCGGATGATCAAGGGATGCTGGGGATGTTGTACAATGGATCGAACATTGATGAATTGAATGGAATGGATGGACAAAAGCAGAAGCCTCCAAAGAACGGACCAACGACAAAGCAAGAGCTTCGTTTGTTTCCCTCTCAAAACCATGCAAACGGGGGTGCCCTCTTTTTAGACACCCACACTTGTTGAATTGCAAGCGGGAGGATCCAGTATTGAATTGCAAGCAAATTGTCACATATTGTCACCTGAGTGCATGTTGTATAAGAGACTGCCACTCTCGAGGTGAGATCTCCCTTCTTGAGCTGCGGCCCACGCTGTCGGATCTCCAACTGTCCTCGCGGCAAACAAATGCAGTGCTTCGAATGAACTTGTCGCGACACCCCCGACACTTGGGAGGGGTCAAACAGCTGTCCACACCTGCGCGGTTGGCAAAGAGCATTTCATCTCCCACCCTCGCATCCCGAAGAGCCCCTGACAGAAAGGCAGGGCCTGCACTGTTCAGGCATGTCAAACTCTGCCGAACCTCTGCCCTGTCCGTGCGCTCCTGCAGTGGGAGTTCCTAGCCTGGGACATGGGAATGCAACTCCAAATGGCGCGCACAAGTCTGGAGAAAACAAACCAAACAGATCCACATAGGCACCCCTGAGTGTAGCTTACGCGTGCGCACATAGTTATGTATGTACATCTGTGCAAATGTGGATATATATATATATATATATCTCCCTGTCTTGCTCCCTTGAGGGTTAGGACCCCCCGTTTTATTTCAATAAAACCGGGGGGGGGGGGGGCCAATCTTTTCCAAGAACAAAATGGGGGTGCTAACCCTCACAAAAGTTTCCGACTAGGGGACCTGCGAGAAGAAAAGCTTGACCCCCCGCCGAAAATAAAAGGGGTGTCGGGAAAGAGGTCGCAAACTAAAATGGCCACGGGGCTAACCCCAAAGGCTAGCCCCTTCGGCCGGGCTTGAATCTTCAGGGGCTAACCTTTCCCAAGCCTTACTCTCAGATTCACAGCAGCTAACTAATTGTGTATTTTGTTTTGCCAAGACTTGCTCTCAGACTCCCAGTGCTTAATTTAGCATTGCCAGTTCTACATTGAAGATGTCCAAGGCTTACTCTCAGACTTCATTTAGCATTGCCAATTCCAAATTTAGTACTGCCAAGACTTACTCTCAGATTCCCAGCGCGTAACTTAGTATTGCCAATTCCAAATTGAGTATTGCCAAGTCTTACTTTCAGATTCCCAGTACTTAATGCAGTACTGCACATTCTCATAAATTATATTGCCAATATTTACTCTGAGGTTCTGGCAAAAAGGGATCCTGGGGTTTTGGATGATGGTGGCAAATTGCAAACATGTACCTCGTCTCCGACGCCACTCCATGGGGAGGCCCCCTCCCCCAACCCCGACCCCCCCCCTCCTCGGGGAGGGGAGCCGGGGGTGAGGGAGGTGTTTTTTTGTGCGGGGAGGGGAGCCTCCGGGAACAAAGTTGAAATTCTGGTCTATGAAATGCTTAATCTTAGATTCCCACTACTAAACTCAGCATAGCATAGCCAAGAATTTGATCTTTGAGATTCCGAAATCGCCAATACAAGACTTAGTATTGCCAATACTTGATCATATTGCCAATACTACATCCTAGCGTCAGAATGCTAAATTTAGTATCGTCATTGCTAAACTTAGCATTGTCTATACTCAATCTTTGATTCCTAGGTTCGCCTAGGTTGCCAAGAAAATGAATCACTTGACCCCAAAAAAAATGACTCCCTTGTTCGAAAACTAAATGGTAGGGCCTAGCCCCCAAAAACAAGAAATTATAAGAACTATGTACCACACTTTTTTGGGGTTTGGGCTGGCATCAACGGCTACCTACCTCAACCGCAAATACAAAGGGGTCGACAAAAGACATGCGGGTGCTAGCCTACTCAGCCGAAAACCAGCCACTGAACATATTCTTCAAGTTTTCAGGGTGGTAACCCCCCCCCATCAAAGTACAAATACGGCAGGGTATGTATATATATATATATATTAGAAGCTGGAACGTGTTTTGCATGCATTTTAACAGCCAAAACGTCAATTTCCGGCCCAAAACCTGAGTATTCAAGGGGGGGCACCATATATATATATATATATATGTATATATATGTATATATATATATATATCATAGATCGCTTTGTATATATATATATATAGACATATTTTATACTATGTATAGATGTGCTGGTGCATAAACTGTCCGTTTCATTTGTCTATCTATGCATTTATCTAGTTATCCATTCATGGATTGGAACCCAAATGCCTTGCCCCGAGTGTTCTTTTCACCATGGCCACGGTCTGTGGCAAAGCCACCCAAGCCGGCCCTTGTAGCCGAGAAAATATGGCGGAGCAGAAGCATCCAATGGGGGATTGGCAAAACTGGCACGCCAAAAGCAAAGCAAAGTCACCAAGCTCTGATGGCATGGGCGTCAGGCCGGCCGGATGATCTACAAAAACATGCGGACGACATCTTCAAATGTCCTCGAATTCAAGCGAAAAACGGTGCATCCCTTGTTTCCTCCTCGGGAAACGGATAGCTCTCTGCACTTGTTGAGCGCAGCCATCTGGGAAGCGAGCTGTACATGCTTCTGGGAAGTGAGCTGTACATGCTTCCGCAAAATACTCTTTGGCCTTGGTCCATGACACACACCAGTGTGCTGGATACTGCCAAAATAGTAAGCCATTGTCTCCATGACCAGTGTGCTACATGACTGCACGACGATCCTTGGGATAGGTGCAGTGCGCAAGGCAGTAGAAGAGGAAGCACACGCTGAAGGACACCAGAGAGCTCCAGAACACACCTAAGGCCAGGCTATGGGCGTCCTGTGGGGAGCATTCGCTCTCGCTCTCTGGGTCAAAGCCGAAGATCTGGTCCGTGAGCAACCCCACTGGCTGGCTGAAGGCACCGAAGGTGCTGAAGGTGCCTTCAATGCAACGGTCCAGTGCGTAAACGTAGCTGTACCTCTCTCTCGGGACCACATCGCTGAACATTTTGTTGTTCATGACCATGTTCCAGGCAATGAGGATGCCGGTGATAAAGAAGGCTGCACTGTAGAAGCCAAACAGCCCGGGGGTGCCAATATCCATGTCACTAAGCCCGAACAGGATGAACGCGAAGAGTGGAATCGACACGCCCACCGAGAGCTGGCAGATCGTAAGAGGCCCATGATCCGGGCAGCGCCTGAAGACCAAGTCCATCAAGAAGCCCCCGATGACGCTGGAAATGGCAGTTCCAACATTGAAGTAGGCATAGATGGCCGCGGCTTGCTGATTGGAGAAACAGTTCAATTCCAGCCACATGGTCAGGTAGCTGAAGGCGAACCAGGGCGCAGTACCGAAGACCCCCTGACCGATGATCACCAGGAAGGTGGGCAGGCAAAAGATCTTGCTGAGCTTTGGAGTCTCTTGGACGATGATCTGCAGCATTGTGCGTTGGTCCCTCTCCCTGGTCTCCTCGACAAGCATGCCCACTCCAAGGCCCACAAAAGCGCTTAGAATGGCAATCACAAGCAGTGCGAATTGCCAGCCCGCGATGTTTCCCACCTGCGTGCTGGCCACGGTGGTGGCGAAGGCGGTGAAGGCGGCTTGGCCGAGCTGTCCCGTAAAGATCAAGCACCCGAAGGCCTTGCCACGTCCGTAAACGCAACTCTTGTCAGCGACGAGGCTGAAGAGCAGGGGCTGGACAATCCCGAGGCCAACGCCATTTGCTGCCCGGAAGAGGCTCATGCAAAGCAAATCCGGCGAGAAGGCACAGCCGACAAGGCCCACGGCCCAGATCATGCTGCCAGCGAATATGAGCTGCGGCCGTGGGAGGCGGTCGGCGAGGAAGCCCGCAGGCAGGGCGAAGACGGATTCGAAGATGCCCCGCACGAGGCCCAGGTTGCTGAGATCACCTGGCGAAATGTTGAAGTGCCTGGCAATCTCGGTGTGCACTGCTGGCAGGGCCATGTTGTCAGTGTTCCACATGATCATGACCATGTTCAGGCAGGCCATCTGGAGCCACCAGCTCCTCGAGGTCTCTTGCGGCTGCTTCTTGGCGTCCGCAGCAGCTTGGGCATCAGACCATTGCTGATTGACAAAACAGCCGCTCGAGTTGTGGGGCACTGCAACTCGCTGGGGGCTGAACATGGCAGGACCAACAGGCAGTCTGTCCAAAGGTCTGTGAGCAAAAACTGCTGCGCCCGAAGATCTTGTGGACTTCGAGGAATCTCTGTGTTTGGCATGGAACAGAAACGTGCTCGCCCAAAGCGGCTCCAAACCACACACACACACACACAAACAAACAAACGAACATGGCATGGCGCACAGAAACCTTTCCAGAGGAGAGCACGTTCCAGGGGTCTGTGGTTTGGTGTGAGAAGGTAGTGGTCCTTTGGCCAGAAGCACCTTCTCCACAAAGGTGGGGGAACGTTGCAACGGTCCCATGGTCATCTAGTGCCTCTTTGGTGATCCTGTTTGCGATTCACCAAAATTAGAGCAATCTGTTGTATCTGCGCATTCCCCCTCACTTGCCCAAAGAATCGGAAAACCCAAGGTTGACTCGGCGTCGGTTGTTCTTCCGTTCGCCCCAGATACGCCAAATCGCTCGTTCCGCCGAGCTGCGGAAGCAGCGGACGCATCGCCGCAGACAGACACGTGGCAAGCTCCGAAATGCAAACAGAAAGCAGGGCAGCCGAATGAATGACTCCTATTTGAATGCGGTTCTCACACTTGCACTGTGATTGAATTCCAAGTCCAATGTTCGGACAGAAACTCAAGGGCCCGAGTTTTGTCATTTCTGCTTAAGCTTTCGACTATAGGCCCCTGAGCCAGAGCCAGTCTTCGAGCTGCGTGAGAATCAGATCCCTCCAACAGGTTCCCTTCCTTTTTAAAGCGACCTGAAAGTTGGTGCAACCTTTGACATGTCCCAGAACAGCGGGCCCATCACCCGCGGTTCGGAAAGGAGAGGGATCCGAATCTGGGCCCTTGCGTTGGATGTGTCTTGATGTTTCATCCAAAACCCTTTTCCCAGGGGAAGTTTGAAGAAACATCTAAGGCGCTTCGCGTATCCCCGGACCCTTGGAGCCTAAGCTGAAGCGAGCGAGCGAGCGAGGGAACTCTTGGCGTCTCTGGTGGCGTTCTGTATGTGGGAAGCGTGCAAAGAACAAAAAGACAAAAAAAAAAAAAAAAAACATGTATCACCTCCAGCTAGTTGCCACTGGTGGCCATATGGCAGCCAAAGTAAGTCTGGTTTGATGTCCAATGGGCAATCTTCTGTCTCTACATAGAAACAAAAATTGCTTGAACATGCAAAACACAACAATCCTGATTATGACAGCCCCAGCAAAGTCTCGTCCAGTAACCCCGCAAAAACTCGCAGCGTATTCCTGGGTCCACTGCAGATACACCCGCCCTAAAGGGCCCTAATTGCTAGCCTTGTCACATTGTCTGGTTTCAACTGGCCACTTTTTCAAGAGAGCCACCGAACAGCCGGGTAGAATTCCAAGAGCTCAACAAATCTAGCCACCAGCTGGAAGGCCAAATTTTGAACCAGCCAAATCCCTATCCAGTGGTGGTTTGACTCCTGGCAAATTAAAACCGGTCACCCAGCCAAAACCAACTCTGCCCGGGGTATGTTTGATCCAACAGAAACGAGTCAAATATGGTTCTGCGACCCCCAGGTAAAACCACAATTTGACAGGGGCTCCCCCTTTTTCGGAAACACCCAAATGGCAAAAAATAGCAAAAGCACACTACAAGATACTCTCGCCTGCTCACACATTCGGAGTTGCAATGCTGGACACTCTTCTGCGACCACTCGTGCCAGACCTTCTGTCAAATAATGGCATTGTCAGCCAAATAAATGGAATTACGCTGTCATATCACGACTTCTCATGCTCTAGTAAGAGCAGGCACCTTCTCACTGCAATAACAACATCCCTTCTTTCCAAGGCTGAGTTCCGGCATATCGCACGACAACGGCAAAAGGGCCGATCCTCGAACTGGGAATTGACGGCCCCGATCTTAGAACCCCCACCGATGTATCCGCATGCAAGCCGCTGCAGTCATGACCTTTTGACTACCCTCCCTGCGAGGCTTGTCATGAGCGTTCAATCCTGGCAGCGAACAGCCGGAGATGCACTCTGCTCCAAAGGATGGCTTGCTTCTTCTTTTTGTGGGGAGGGGGGAGAGGGGGTATCTTTTGAACGACCAGGTTTGCCATGCTTTTTGTAGCCAGGGTTGGCATCATCAACCCTAACAAAATGGAGTACTGTAGGAGTAAACAAAGACTGGCTTACACAACTTCCCAACCCTTGGTAGTAGTGCACATGAACAAATGCAGGCATGGGCAATTGTTTGAGGCTGGGCCCAGGTCTAAGAACACAAACGGCTCAAGCAGACCAACCAGAAGCTGGTCACCCTGAGCCAATCACAATTCATCTTGCTCGTGATTTCCCAAGATCCCCTGACCTTTGGTTCTACCAGGATACACCAGGATGGTGAAAAAGTTTTTGGTGTGTTCCAAGCAAACGAGTGGAACTTTTAAAATGGCCAGGTGTTGGGACTGCAAAGACACTAGCTGGGCGCCACAGCTCTGCATAGCCTTTCCCAACAGCCATGGGAAAGGAAACCCTGGCTCTGGCTGATTGTGATCCACGAACTTCCACATTCATGGCGAAAACGCACCCTACAAAATCTCGCGAAAATCGGTTCTCGACTTGGGCGTTCGGCACTCAAAGGCACCATAAGGGTTTGACGGACCCCAGATTCGGCTGGGTTTTGACCAAGGAAACAGAAGGTGGCTCTGAAATGGGAGGTGAGACCAACTTCAAGCGAAACCATCCGCATCAGTTTGGAGGTCAAGCTTAAGTCACTTTAACATTCAAACATGGGCTTCGGGCTTGTTCTTTGGGGTGTCGTTCGCTTTTCTCAGGGGAAAACAAAAAAGCCCTGTTCTCAGCCCACCTCGCAGTCGCAAGTCATCTCCCCGTCGCCTGCCTGACTCGCACGAGGCTTCAGTCCCTGCTTAAGCCGCACAGGGTGGTATCCCAAGCCCCAACTGGGCAAAGCTGTGCCCTCCCCATCGCGGGAAAATGCATGGGAAAGGGTCCTTTCTTGGGGCAGGCCGCCCCTCCCCCACTCATCCCCCTTCCATACGACGGGGTGGCGATGCGCAGTGTCAGCAGTCTACAGAAATATGGATCCCGTCAAACCAGAATCAATAAACAAATAATCTCCGCTCAGTTCCATCCCGCACCCGAGCCTGCTTGACAAGCATGCCGCCCGCGCGCAGGTTCCTGCAGTTTTACAACTTATCCGTGCCGTCAATTCAACCTGGAGACTCATAGGATCAACCTTGACCAGGCACAGTATCCTTGATTGCCATCCGTGACCACGGCACATCTTGAAAGTCATGTCTACTCAAGGCAGCCTTGGCAGACGTGGGTACAAGCGTGGCCACTGAGCCCGGGGGGGAAGATTTCTTCAGTCTCAGATGGCCTGGGAAGGGACCCCCTCCGCTAAAAATGCTGAAAGATCTGCCAGCTGCACCGTGTTGGACATCCAACTTGCATGCCTCGGGCATGTCCTGAATACAGGTCAGTCTCAGCATTAGTTCGGAGCAACCACACCCAACAACTTGACAGTGCACCAAATCCGGAGATTCGAGCTGAGTATTTCTATGTTGCCACATGTGCTTATTGAAACCCCTGGGACACGGTGCCCAAAACAAAAACACGGCCTTATGCTGATGACAGGCTTCAAGAGCAGCGCTCAAAGTGCAAGGAGGTTGGGTTCTACCAAACCTGGTTGTACAAGTTAATTTGGTCGTGTATCAATTTGTTAAGGCTTGATGAACCTTGTAGATCCTTCTAAACAGCTTTCAGACCAAGGCTGTTGGGCTCTTTACTTGGCTCCCTCCCGCAGACAAATCCAGCACAGCGCGTCCTCTTCACGCCGGCCTGATAGGACCGACATATGCCAGGAGCTTGCAGCATGGCTTGGTTTGCTCTCCGCTCTCCAAAACGCGTCTTACCAAACCATTCTGGTCGCACCCAGAACCTCAGATGACGTCTTGCATGCAAGGCGCGCCAAGCAACGAGGGCTCAAAACACGGCTTCACCCTTTTCGGGTCCCAAACCAGAAAGGCGGCCTTGAACGCTTGTCACCTTGCGGTCCCCAAGTAGAAGCTTGCTCTCCAAAAAGGCGTGCCTGAAGCAACTACGAACGTCCTTACCAAACGGGTTTGTTTGTCGTCCAAGTCTTGGGCAAACCCTGAAAAAGGAGCAACCCGGCTTCCGGCTTTGTTTAACTATTACCCTTCAGTCCGCCAAGAAGGAAGCCACCGGAAGGTGCCTTTTAGAGGAAGATTGTCCAAACCACAACCACTTTCAACCCTCTCCGCCACATCCCAACAAAGAAGGCAAAACAAGCAAACACCACTTAGTTGGCATCTGGGCATGGTTGACCCTCTCTCGACAGCTCTTATTTAGGAGCTCGCCATGCAGAAATGACCCCTTCCCGCCCACCTCGGACTTCTCCAGCAAGGCCTTGCCGATTTTGCAGACACCAGAATCAAACCGCAAAACAACCCGTTGAATGACAATACGCCAACCCAAGGGGCGCAACGAGTCTCCTGGCGCTCGTTTTGTCTGTGTCCCCTGTTCATGTCGAGTTCGGATAGAACAAATGGCTGGAATAATTAAGCAGGAGAGGCCCCTCGAAATAACTCAGTCCTCTACTACACGCCTATTGCCACAAGCCGCTGTCTCAGCATGAATTCCGCCAGCAGGCTGACAATTTCTTCAAGGTGGCGGCTCCCTCAAAATGCCCTTTAATCACAGCAGATTCGTTTGAAGAGGCGACTATTGTTGGGTTGTATCGCATGGAGCATCCAAGGGCCCGGCGAAGCCCGGAACGCCTGCGAGTTGCAAATGGGTCGAGAATCGGCCGAGAGGGACGGGGTCTGCCTGCCCGACTTGTGCATGGCAGGTTGACGCAGCTTGAAACTTACTTGCCTGGCGATGAACAGCAAGAACAGGCCTTTGCCTTTGCCTTTGCCCCGTTCGAGTCAGGAGACTACGGTCCATGGAGGACACAGGGAACACCTTAAGCAATCACGCAAGTTGGCAGAACTGTACAAAAGCGAGCTGTTCGAATGCAAATGGGTTGGAACACAGTAGGTTCCTTTCGGATGCTTTATATGATTGTCCTTTGGTGCAAGCGAGACCCCGTGTGTTGGAACTCGTTGAACGGGTGAGAGAATTCTCTTGGTGCAGCTCCAGGGCAAGCCCATCGCAAGGAAGAAAGTGTGCCACTGGGGAACAAGGTAGATAAAAGTGTGGTCGCAAAATCCGGGACCATGCCCAAGAAACCTGTGCTGGGGGGGGTTCCTGTAACATTGGCAAAACACGGGGCATACAGTAATGACAACCAAAATACTATGCCGTCGAATATGGAAACCATCCGCCCGCCTGGGAACTGCATCGGAGGCATACCGGGCACTCCAGGCATGCCCTGCGGCATGCCCTGCGGCATGCCCTGCGGCATGCCCTGCAGCATGCCAGGCATGGCCATGTTCTGGCCGGGCATGGCCATGTTGGGCATGCCTGGCAAAGCTCTTTGCCGCAGCAGGCGCTCTTACATTGCTGCATCTCATGCACCCGAAGAAAAAAAACACCTTCTGAGTGGTCTGCCTTTTGCTATCCTGCATACAGCAAGACAGTCTGCCCTACTCCAACTGACAAAGAGGAGCCCCCATGAAAATGGACCATGTTCTTTCACGTGGGGGATGTATTGCATTCCTTCCTGAGTTCAAGAAAAACACCCTCAACGGTACTGGGCTTGTCAAACTGACCCATGCAAAAATGATCACTGTTTGCTTGAACATTCGTCCAATTCCAAAAGGAAGGACAGCTTCACGGCGGGTGAGGTCGCAAGCTAAAGCATGTCTAAAGTGTAGACCCAGGAGAAGGCTCAAAGGTGCAGAGATCACCAAAGAAATCCAACCAATTGGAAGTTCTCGAAACCTTTCACCCCGAGTAGTTGTTTGGCTGCCCTGTTCAAGCCGCCGGAAAGCTCTAAGCGCTACCAACCAAAAAGCAAATCGTGCCCACCAACCCTAAGGATATCAAGTCAGCAGGTTAATTTGAGGCATTCCAAGATGAACTTTCAATGTTTGAGGAAATCGCTGACCAGGCCCCTCGAGGCCAGGTACGGCCTCCCAGAAACGCAGGCAAGCTCAATACGGGAGTGTGTTTCATTCAGGGCACCCTTTGGAGTTGCTTTAATTGAAGGAAAACAACGATAATTTTAGACTTCTCCCCGATTTTGAATCAAAGCCATGTGAAGTACTGTAACTTCTAGGTACCCCAAAGCAAGGCATTGTTGGGTACCCTACGCTTGAAGGGGAGCCAACCACATGTTCCCGATTTTGAACAAAATCAACGGAATCATGCATCTGGCCAAATCAATCACCTTGTAAAACCTCGAGCACCTGAAGTGATGGATTCCCAAGTACACGACTTTCATCATGGCCAGCTTGCTTTATCTCCGCATTCAAACATTTGCCCGGAAACCTTCGAAGCCCTGCCTGCCCCCCCGAAGCCGCCGTAGCCGCCGAAGCCGCCACCAGGCTTCTGCACCAGCGGAGCTTTGGTGGTGAAGACGCTGGGCGCCATGTGCTCCGGGAGGTTGGGGAAGGGAAACGGCCGGCCCTCCGGCAGGTGGTCCGGAGAAACCTCAAGTTGGGAAACCGGATACCCATCTCGGAGAGTGCCGCACTGCTTTGCGGCTGAAAATCAAAAGAAGGACCTGCTTCTTCAAACAGAGATGCCCCACCAACATTTCTGAGTGAAGCATTATCATTCACCGAGCCCAAGTAAGGCTTCCCTATGAAAAGGACCTTGAGGTCGTAAAGCATCAAATTCATGAAGGCGGTTCTACCACAAATCTAAGTTCTGCATGTACCTCTTATGTAAGTAACATATATATATATATATATAAGCTCCATGCATCCTAGGAAATGCAGGGCAAGGCTGAGTCCAATGACCTAGTACAAGCTGGGTGTAGACAGCTGGCATCAGTTGCCACCTGCCTTGTGCAAAGGCAACTAACCTTTTGTGGGTGTACGCTGTTGAAATCGGTTTTTACCCTTAAGGGAACCCTTTGCTTTACCCAAGCTCTTGAGAAAGGCAAAGGCACATCGTGGCCGTACAAACGCAGCACGAATCTGGTGAACCAGTCAACTTGGAGGTCGTATGGAAATTCTGAGGGATGCATCCGGGTCATCCTACCAGTCATCGTGTGTCAATGTGACTCCCAGTTTTAAACCGCAAAACAACCACAAAACAACATTGAACCAAGCCCAACAAAATGGCCCCAGGGTGCCGACAAAGCCCCTTCTCTGTGTGTGTGTGCGTGTGTGTGTTTGTGTTTGCGAGTGTAGACGTGTCCTCTTGTTTGTGCTCCCTTGGAGGCCGAGTCCGGTGGTACTAATGCAGTCCAGCAGCCACCGGGGGAGGATGCAGCAAAGACTGCGGCGCTTTGGTAAGATTGCCTGAGTTCGCACACTTTCTCAAGGCTTGGGTTCACCTTCTGACCACCTTCTCAGAAAAATAGCCGGTCCCTCCCACAAGTGTAGAGACAGACCCCGTTCTAAGAGGGTGCCTTTGGGTTCCCTAGAGTCTGGGGTTGAAAGGCGAACCCTGAACAAGACATGCAACCACTTTGCTGGACGCAGCAATCATCACGGGGCGAAAGACCTAACTGGGTCCAACACCGCAGGTCCTCACAAAAACATCTCCTGTCCGTGTTGATTCCCCACATCTTTGTGTGGGGTTCTTACTTTTTCCGCTCGTCGTCCGCGTCTCCTTCTCCGCTCTCGTCACTCACTCACTCACTCACTCTCACTCACTCACTTACACACTCACACTCACTCACTCAACTCACTCACTCACTCCACTCACTCACACTCACTCTCACTCACTCACTCACTCACTCTCACTCACTCTCACTCACTCTCACTCACTCTCACTCACTCACACTCACTCTCACTCACTCACACTCACTCACTCACACTCACACTCACTCACTCACACTCACTCACTCACACTCTCTCATTCACTCACTCTCATTCACTCACTCACTCACTCACTCGCTCACTCACTCACTCACACTCGCTGACTCACGGCAGCTGTCTAGAGGGACAGGATGTTGTCGCGCGCGCGGCGGGGGGTGTGCGAAATCGTGGCAGGCGCAGCACTTTGGCGATGCCGTTGCGAAATCGTGGCAGGCGCAGCACTTTGGCGATGCCGTTGCCGAAGTCGTGGCAGGCGCAGCATTCTGTGCATCTGGGTGTGTGTTTGTGTGGCAGGGGTCGCATTCGGCAGCTGTCTAGAGGGACAGGATGTTGTCGCGCGCGCGGCGGGGGGCGTGCGAAATCGTGGCAGGCGCAGCACTTTGGCGATGCCGTTGCGAAATCGTGGCAGGCGCAGCACTTTGGCGATGCCGTTGCCGAAGTCGTGGCAGGCGCAGCATTCTGTGCATCTGGGTGTGTGTTTGTGTGGCAGGGGTCGCATTCGGCAGCTGTCTAGAGGGACAGGATGTTGTCGCGCGCGCGGCGGGGGGTGTGCGAAATCGTGGCAGGCGCAGCACTTTGGCGATGCCGTTGCGAAATCGTGGCAGGCGCAGCACTTTGGCGATGCCGTTGCCGAAGTCGTGGCAGGCGCAGCATTCTGTGCATCTGGGTGTGTGTTTGTGTGGCAGGGGTCGCATTCGGCAGCTGTCTAGAGGGACAGGATGTTGTCGCGCGCGCGGCGGGGGGTGTGCGAAATCGTGGCAGGCGCAGCACTTTGGCGATGCCGTTGCGAAATCGTGGCAGGCGCAGCACTTTGGCGATGCCGTTGCCGAAGTCGTGGCAGGCGCAGCATTCTGTGCATCTGGGTGTGTGTTTGTGTGGCAGGGGTCGCATTCGGCAGCTGTCTAGAGGGACAGGATGTTGTCGCGCGCGCGGCGGGGGGTGTGCGAAATCGTGGCAGGCGCAGCACTTTGGCGATGCCGTTGCGAAATCGTGGCAGGCGCAGCACTTTGGCGATGCCGTTGCCGAAGTCGTGGCAGGCGCAGCATTCTGTGCATCTGGGTGTGTGTTTGTGTGGCAGGGGTCGCATTCGGCAGCTGTCTAGAGGGACAGGATGTTGTCGCGCGCGCGGCGGGGGGTGTGCGAAATCGTGGCAGGCGCAGCACTTTGGCGATGCCGTTGCGAAATCGTGGCAGGCGCAGCACTTTGGCGATGCCGTTGCCGAAGTCGTGGCAGGCGCAGCATTCTGTGCATCTGGGTGTGTGTTTGTGTGGCAGGGGTCGCATTCGGCAGCTGTCTAGAGGGACAGGATGTTGTCGCGCGCGCGGCGGGGGGTGTGCGAAATCGTGGCAGGCGCAGCACTTTGGCGATGCCGTTGCGAAATCGTGGCAGGCGCAGCACTTTGGCGATGCCGTTGCCGAAGTCGTGGCAGGCGCAGCATTCTGTGCATCTGGGTGTGTGTTTGTGTGGCAGGGGTGGCATTCGGCAGCTGTCTAGAGGGACAGGATGTTGTCGCGCGCGCGGCGGGGGGTGTGCGAAATCGTGGCAGGCGCAGCACTTTGGCGATGCCGTTGCGAAATCGTGGCAGGCGCAGCACTTTGGCGATGCCGTTGCCGAAGTCGTGGCAGGCGCAGCATTCTGTGCATCTGGGTGTGTGTTTGTGTGGCAGGGGTCGCATTCGGCAGCTGTCTAGAGGGACAGGATGTTGTCGCGCGCGCGGCGGGGGGTGTGCGAAATCGTGGCAGGCGCAGCACTTTGGCGATGCCGTTGCGAAATCGTGGCAGGCGCAGCACTTTGGCGATGCCGTTGCCGAAGTCGTGGCAGGCGCTGCATTCTGTGCATCTGGGTGCTCTGTAATCGCATCCATACAAGGGGCGCACGGTACATGTGTGTGGACATTTGAACTCACATCCTTGGGAAAAACATAGCATGTGGGGTTATCCGGTCCTTTAATTGTTTTGTCTCACAAGACGCGTGAGTTCCGTGCCTGGTCTTGCGCCAGGTGAGCGCTGCTTGGCTCAAAACGCGTCCCATCGAGATTCGCTTTTGCTTCGAGATTCGCTTTTGCTTGATTGTCTGCTACAAGAATTCGCCCGGCATTTCCCATCATGACAGTATCCGCCGACATTGCTCGGCGTGTCGGACACCTATAGAGGATAGAGGATAACCCCCCCCTAACCCCCCCCCCCCGCCGTTCCCCCACGTACCGCGTTAATTTGATGACGTTCCACTAAACGTAGCCTGTGTCGCAAAACAGGGGTCCCAGGCTCGATTCCCCCTGCCAGCTCTTTGCTGGTTTGGGTTTCCTGCCTCCTTTTGCCGAAAATATGTAAAACAACTCTGTGTTTTTGGACATCATCTTTGCGAAAACGCTGGAGAAAAACCGTGTTTGTTTGCGGGAAATACTGGGGAGCAAAGGGGAAATGCAAGGAAGTGCAAGGAAATGAGGGGAGGAAATAGGAAGTCGACATGACAGGAAAGCAACGGGAAATGAAAGGGAAACAAAGGGGAACTGAAAGGGACATGAAAGGGACAGAAATGAAAACAAGGGGAGTGCAGGGGAATGAAAGGGAAACAAAGCAAGGGGAGTGCAGGGAATGAAAGGGAAACAAAGCACAAGGAAACCAATCGGCACGACGGGAGATGTAGGGAAATGACTCGCAACGAAAGAACGGGACATACATGGAAAATGAAGCGGACATACCGAGAAAATGTCAGGGACATGAAGGGGGAGTTGAAAGGAATGGAAGGGACATGACCAGGACATCATGGGAAACGTGAAAAGGACATGAAAGGGAAATCAAGCGGAAAGCCAGTCATGAGATGACAGTTCCGGGTCATGAAGGGGCAGTCATCGAGGCAACTCAGCGGGGAATGCAGAGAGAGAGAGAGAGAGACAGGGAGAGAGCGGGAGGGAGAGAGGGGGAGAGAGAGAGAGAGACACACACAGAGAGCGAGAAAGAGAGAGAGAGACACACAGAGAGCGAGAAAGAGAGAGAGAGAGAGAGAGACAGAGACAGAGCCAGAGCCAGAGTCAGAGAAAGAGACAGAGAAACAAATGGACTGAGAGAGAGAGAGAGAGAAAAAAAAAGAGAGGGACAGAGAAAGAGAGACACAGAAAGACAGAGAGAGAGAGAGAGAGCGAGAGAGAGAGAGAGCGAGATAGAGACAGAGAAAAAGAGCGAGAAAGAGAGAGAGAGAGAGAGAGAGAGAGAGAGACTAGGTCCTCCAGTAGAGAGGTTAGAATTAGGGTATCCTTTTTCTGTAGAGGGGCGTGGACAGGAAGGAGACAGGGAGACAGAAAGAGACAGAGAAACAGAGACAGAGAGAGAGAGAGAGGGACAGACGGAGAGAGAGAGAGAGAGGAAGATTGAGGAGAGAGAGGCTTGGGGGGATGGTGAGGATGGGGAGCACAGGGAGGGAGAGAGGACGACAGGACACACGAGGGAGACAAGGGAGAGAGGAAGAAGGAGAAAAGGGAGAGGACAATGTCGGCGGACTGAGCCGGAGGCTCTAAAGTATACGCAAACTCGTAAATGCGGCTGGGGAGAATACAAAATCCTGTTCAAGCAAATTCAAGGAGGCCCTGCGTCATTTTGCTCAAACCAGACATTGAGCCTTCACGCAAGCAGGCGTCTGTCTTGTGGCGGACTTCTCCACACAAGCGTCGATCCACGGAAATCATTTTCATGTTGGCATTCTCTTGATGTGGTTGCAGGCAAGAGTCCAATCTAACTTGCCGCATCGCCACATTGTTGGGGAGGGGGTC